GGGGTGAAAGTGTCCAGACTGGAAGTGGTTAAAGTGGACTTTTAATTTTTTTCATCACTGGACTTATTTTTTATATATATATATATATATATATATATATATATATATATATATATATAATTTTTTTCGGAACATCACTGTTTATGTTTTTAGTCACATGTATGTTTTTTAATTTTGCACACATTATGTTTATGTTACAGGAATGTAATGAAGACAGAAAATGACACATATGAATGCTAATTAGAGTTTAATATGTCGCGTATATCATGCGCCGCTATTAATCACTAAAATTAGGGGGGATCATATAGAATGTATGTTGGATATTGAAAGAAAGTTGGCAGCAATATAGTATAATTGAGAAGTTTGTTTAGTAGCATCCGGCGTGATTTAGTGATCCTAAATTCATTTTTTATGAGGGGTCACTTATAAGGAAAGCATTATGCATGCCTCTTGTGTTTTTTTAAAATTATTTTTACAAAGTAGAGATGCTATTGACATTAAAAGAGAACCATGGGCAAAACCTTGTTTTTCATTTTTGGATAAAGTAAGGAAGGGTTTATATCCCTTGTCAGATATTTGCTTTTTGGCCATCGGGGCTCCACTGGGGGAGATTTACCTTTACTTCCTGCCCCATAGCTTAAACAGGAAGTGAACGGTAATCCCCACAAATTATGGGAAGCCTTTGGGGGACCCCCAGGTCACCTGTAATAGTGTTTCCGTTTTCCCCGGGAACAGCTCAAAATTGGGATTTTCGTTTACCTTCAATTTCAATGATAATGGTAAACAGGACAAATAGAGAGGGTGAATCTCTCCAAAGGGGGTACAGAGAGCAATAAAAGCTGACAGGAATTCTAACCCCTCTCCACTCTGTCCAAAACTAAAAAAAAAAAATCCTTTATTTATACTGGAACCACTTGCCATCCAGAGGATTTCCCCCCCCCCTTCCTGACCAAGCCATTTTTTGTGATACGGCACTGCATTACTTTCACTGACAATTGCGTGGTCATGCAATACGGCACATAATTGAAATGTATGTCCTTTTTTCCCACAAATAGAGCTTTCTTTTGGTGGTATTTGATCACCTGTGAGTTTTTCATTTTTTGTGCTATAAACAAAAAAAGATTAAAAATTTTGGGGAAAAAAACAACATTTTTGAATTTTTGCTATAAAACAAATTCAGCAAAAAATTAAAAATCTAATTTCTTCATAAATGTAGGTCAAAATGTATTCTGCTATCTTTGGTAAAAAAAAAAAAATCCCAATACGTGTAAATTAATTGCATTACATGAAAGTTATAGTATCTACAAATGGCAGTATATATACAGCATTTTTTTTTATATACTAGTAATGGCGGCGATCAGCGGCTTATAGCGGCACTGCGGGACTGCGGCAGGCATTCTAACCCGGGGGGGGAGGAACTGACTACTAACTGCCACTGACATCCCAATGATACAATGATCAGTGCTAATAAAAATCACTGACACTGTACTAATGGCACTGGGCAGGAAGGGTTAACATCTGGCGCGATCAAAGGGTTAACTGTGTGCTTTTTTACTATGTGTGCTGTGTGTGTTTCACTAGGGAAACGTACTGCTGTGTATTTTTTGCTCTGCAAAGAAGTACACAACAGCATGTTACTGCTGGCAGGAGAGACACCTGTGTTGTTTGCACACAGGTCTCTCCCCTGTCAGCGATGGGGAATCTCCGGCCAGGACCCTGTAATTGACATCTGTAGCTGTCAATGGTGGCGCGGATAGGGCGGCTCATGCACCCCCTACCCTGAAATGCAATATCACGTATATATACGTGATTTTGCACAGCCCTGATGCCCTGTAGCAGTACTTCTACTATAGGGCGGTTGGGAAGCCGTTAAGGTACAACAGTACTTCACAGAACTGCTTGAGGCCTCCAGGAGTTTCCCATAAAAATTAAGGACATGGCCAGGGGCGGACTGACCATTTGGAAACTCGGGCACTGCAAGAGGGCCAGGGGTCAGTAGGGGGCACCATGAGATGCCCCTGGTACCTTTTTCATAGGTTTTTTTTGAGTTTGGGCAAGGACACAGGGGCCCCATAATCCCCTATTGCCTGGGGGGCCCCATGAGTTGTCAGTTTGCCCCTGGCCATGGCACACATGTGCAACACCATATGGAGCTGGCCAGAGGTTTTTCTTTGCGAAGGCTGTGTGGCCTCATATCGCTCATTGCTGACTTGAGGAGGAAGATGCATATCTTCTCAGGTTCACAATAACGTAGGGGGTGAAGAGAAATCAATAAAATGACTGTGTTGTCCTTCAAAAACTACTCTAAGCAGATATCTTCCAATGACAAGAAAGCAAAGATCACACAAACCAACATTATCTTGCCTCTAGTAGGGCCAACCTAACAATCATGAGATAAAGTATTGCAACACAAACACAAGCATCACTTGTTTCTAGTTTTGGATAGAGTTGGGGAGCAATTAGAACCTTCATTTGGGTTTTTATTACAGTTCCTGTACTCGCCTGGAAGATCTTTCTCATTTTTTGTGTTCCAATCAAAACAGATAGCATGGGGCATTTCTCAACATGGGCAAATTCAGTAATAACTTTTTTGTGCTTCGTGCAAAACTTGTTGGAATCTACTTAAGCAGCCCATAGATGATTTAATTGCTCGATTCCCCCAGCAACACATTCAGTGATAAATGGGGGAATGCCTACTGCAGTGCTATTGTGTTCTGCCAGTGAGAGGAGAAGGGATCCTTCCTGGCCGGCAGACCACGATGATAACTGCTAATGGCTATGGACGCAGGCAGAAATCTCATGTAAAAAAATCAGACAAGTTGTACACAAGTTGATCAATGTATTGGCTTCGGTACAATCAGCCTGCCTATACTTGAATCGAATCTTGGCTGCTGAACCAGCCGAATTTTGATCCATGTATGTCCAATTATACTCTTTCCTTGGTCTCCAGCACTGGAAGTGCTGGATTCCCGAAACTGGGAATCAGACTGCAATGAAAACCTAAAAGCAGAAACCATATTGCAAATGGTACTGGTTCTGAAGGCTATTTTTTTTTAAATATATTAGTTTTATAGTGTGTGGGTTTGTGTATAGCATAGCGAATGATTACAAATATTCCTGCCTAAGTCCCTGCTAGGTAGATTTACCCTCTGTTCTTATGCTGGTAATCATTGTCACAAAAAAATTGAGACACAAAATGGCGGGATCCCTTGTTGAAAAATTTGTTGCTAGAGAAAAAGAGAGGCTACATCTAGAGGGTACATCTGTTCCAGTGACAACTAGACCCTGCCATAGAGGAATCAAATCTCGTCTCGATTTTAATCCAGCTATGAGAAAGCTGGTTGGACCCAAATCAATACACTGCCGCTAGCGGTGCCCATTGTGTTCTGCCGTCCGGGAAGGTTCCCTGCTGGCAGGATATAATAATTCTGTGGGAATAATTCCTCCCTCAACACACTCAGTGAATCAAGCAATTTTCTTTCCTTCCACCTTTTTCCTTCCACATAATCTATGGGCTGCTTAAGAGAAGAATTTCCCTCAATTTGTAGAGATTTCTTATGACTTCCTGTTGTATTTCTGGGACAGGAAGTGAAAGGAAATTCATTCACTGGGATACCAAAAATAGACTGTCATTAGTTTTACCCTTTTCCTACTCTAAAGAAAGGTTTGGTTATATATACACGGTAAATTAAGTTGTATACGTTTTGTCTGCAGCAGTTGCTTGGTTAAGGATTAATTGAGGGAGGAGCTGAATTGCTGCTAATTGGTTGAGATCAGCCATCAGCGTGAAAGCTGTTAAATAATTGACATTATGCTTTAACAAATTCCCTGGAAATACATCAAGGCACTACCAGGGGCGGACTGACAACTCATGGGGCCCCCAGGAAATACGGGATCATGGGGCCCCGTGTCCTTGCCCAAACTCAAAAGAGCCTATAAAAAAGGTACCAGGGGCATCTCATGGGGCCCCCTACTAACCCTGGGCCCTTGGGCAGTGCCTGAGTTTCCAAATTGTCAGTCTGCCCCTGGGCACTACAGACTATTCCACCGTGAGGTTTTTACTTAAATAAATATTCTTTATTCCAGAATGTGCTTGTGTGATCTATTATATTGTAAGCTGTCATGAGCGGGGTCCTCCTAACCCTCTGATATTGATCTGTATTGCTACTTTACAGTGTCCCATGCATTGTAAAGAGCTGTGCAAGCTGTTGGTTCTACATAAATCCTGTACAATAATAATATTTTGTTCACCAAGAGAGAGAATGTTTGTGATTGAAGGCTTCTAAAATAGCTTTAAATTCATGCAGATACACTATATTGCCCCCAGTATTTGGCAGCCTGCCTTTACACGCACATGAACTTTAATGGCCTCCCAGTCTTAGTCCGTAGGGTTCAATATTGAGTTGGCCCCATCCTTTGCAGCTATAACAGCTTCAGTTCTTCTGGGAAGGCCCCCCACAAGGTTTAGGAGGGTGTCTATGGGAAGGTTTAACCATTCTTCCAGAAGTGCATTTATGAGGTCCGGCACTGATGTCGGGGGAGGAGGCCTGGCTCACAATCTCCACTCTAATTCATCCCAAAGGTGTTCTATGGGGTTGAGGTCAGGACTCTGTGCAGGCCAGTCAAGTTCCTTCACCCCAAACTGGCTCCTCCATGTCTTTATGGACCTTGCTTTGTGCACTGGTGCGCAGACATGTTGGAATAGGAAGGGGCCATCCCCAAACTCTTTCCCCAAAGTTGGGAGCATGAAATTGTCCAAAATGTCTTGGTATGCTGACGCCTTAAGAATTCCCTTCACTGGAATTAAGGAGCCAAGCCTAACTGCTGAAAAACAACCCCACACCATTATCTTCCCTCCACCAAAGCTTTCACTTAGCACAATGCAGTCAGGCAAGTGCTGTTCTTCTGGCAACCTCCAAATCCAGACACGTCCATCAGATTGACAGACAGAGAAGCATGATTGGTCATTCCAGAGAACATATCTCCTCTGCTCTAGAGTATAGTGGTGGCGTGCTTTACACCACTGCATGCGACGCTTTGTATTGCACTTGGTGATGTAAGGCTTGGATGCAGCTGCTCAGCCATGGAAAACCCATTCCATGAAGCTCTCTGTGCACTGTTTTTGGGCTCATCTGAAGGCCACATGAAGTTCGGAGGTCTTTAGCTATTGACTCTGCAGACAGTTGGCGACTTCTGCACACTGTGCACTTCAGCATGCGCTGACCCCGCTCTGTCATGTGACGTGGCCTACCACTTGGTGGCTGATTTTCTGTTGTTCTCAGCTGTTCCACTTTGTTATAATCCCACTAATAGTTGAATGTGGAATATTTAGTAGCCAGGAAATGTCACGGATGGACAGGTGACAACCTATCATGGCACCACGAATATACAAATATAAAATGCAGCGCTATGTGGTGTTGCCCTAATATAGGTAACAATAATATAGACATAAAACCAAACATGAAATTTATATCATAAATGGATGAAATGCAGTCCTGTAATAGTGCTCGCTGTTCTCCAGTGCAAATGATAGAAATGTGCACTAACCAGAAGCGTATTGGTAATACGCATGTATATAAATAATCCTGAGGAATCCCCTCTTTCTGGTCAGAAAATGGATAGGAGCTGGAAGATGTGGAGATGAAGCGCCCTCGTGTGGTGAAGATGAAGTCCCACAGGCCAGAGATATCCTTGCAGAGATGTATGGAGTGGATAATCCCCCTTCTCTAGAACTGGTACAAGGGTCACTCTGAGGCTGCAAAAATTGAAAAGCTCCTCATAGGAGACATAGAGAAGAACTCATAGTGTAGTATTTAAATTTGCTTTATTAATCAAAAAAAGCGTTGGTGAGAATCACAGTGGTGCCAGATACAAGTGAGTGACTGACCCTTCCAAAATCAAAGATGGCCGCCGGGCCTCCAAGTGGCGCTGGCGGCGTGATGTCAACAACGTCCGTCTTTTTATATAGCGAATGGCGCATGCGCACTTCATCGACGCCATCTTGCCGGAGTCGAGACGGCCGCGATAGTTAAGTGCGCATGCGTGGCGCCATTTTACCATGGGCATGATACGATCATAGTAAAAAGTGCAGAGAGACGTGACAGATCTCGGATTGTATGTGGGGGTGCCGATGGTGCTGGATAATGCACAATACTGGAGATCATTCCATAAGTACTCAAGTGGAATTATTGAGCAAAAATGACATATAATGTGTTATGCTGTAATGCATGTTTATAAAAAAGTGGGGAATGCAATCATAACTTTATAAATGAATGAAAGAGTAAATGTTCGAATAAACATATGTGTGACAAATATGCTAAAAGGGTAAGTATTGAAATACATTTAACGAATGTCTGTAATTATACTGTATTAGGCACCCAGTAAAAATGGAATAAAATAATTAAAAAACGGATAAAAACCGCCACTCACTGTAGCCTTTCTATTTACATATCATGGCACCACGCTTGATTTCACTGAGCTCCCGAGAGTGACCCATTCTTTCACAAATGTTTGTAGAAGCCGTCTGCATGCCTAGGGGCTTGATTTTATACAACTGTGGCCATGGAGGTGATTGGAACACCTATATCCAATGATTTGAAGGGGTGTGTCCTAATACTTTTGGCAAAATAGTGTATTTTCAAAATTATAATTTTTGGAGTAAGAAAGTTCAAAATAAACTACAAATTACAAAGATTAAAACAAGTATACAAGAGCCCTCCAAAACAAGATCACACTGTCTATTGAGTAAATTTATATTATTATATATTATTTATATTATTGAACGTGATGAACATTCATATTGAAAAAAATACCCAATCCTGTGCAAGATAAACAACAAAAATTTTTTTTTGCTTCCACACAATTGGATGATGGAAGTCAGCAGAGCTTCAACTTATTCAGTATACTAAGGGAAAACTCCCTTGTAACGTTAAATTAATTATGAATATTCATACCTGCACCTTGTGTTTTTCACCTACATAAGATGTGCATTCATCATGTAGTTTATTGGTATTATTTGCTGGCCTGTATGCACAGCTTATAGTAGAGTTAATCTTCACAGTCGAGTGTCAGAGGTTTCTGTTTGGGTTCAAACATAAGGCATGCCTCATGGCACTGCACACTTTAATGCATGACCTCTGCCTGTGGTGTGAGAACTGACCCTTCCTGTGAAGAAACTACATATCTCACAAATCCTGGGTCTCCCTGTCTAGTGTTCTGCAGGTGAGAGCTACATAGTAATTAGGTCTGATACAGGCAGAGCAATTATCAGAGAGTGTATGTAATTCCATCATCAAGGTAAGGCAAACAAAGGTTACAAGGTATATACAGTATATCTAATGAAATTGATACTGAAACCAATAATGGGGCATCAATCCTCCCTCTGACACCAGTGCTGGGGCATTATTCCTCCCACAAATACCAATGATGGGGAACTATTCCTCCCACTGACACCAATGATAGGGCACTATTCCTCCCACTGACACCAATGATAGGGCACTATTCCTTCCACTGACATTCTTCCCACTGACACCAGTGATGGGCACTATTCCACCCTCTGACACCAATGATGGGGCATAATTGCTCCCAATGATACCAATAATGGAGCACTATTCTTCCCACTGACACCACTGATGAGGTCATATTCCTCCCACTGATAGCAATGATGGGGCACTATTCCTCCCACTGATACCAATGATAGGACACTATTCCTCCCACTGATACCAATGATGGGGCACTATTCCTCCCACTGATACCAATGATGGGACACTATTCCTCCCACTGATACCAATGATGGGGCACTATTCCTCCCACTGACATCAATGATGGGGAACTATTCCTCCCACTGATACCAATGATGGGGCACTATTCCTCCCACTGACACCAATGATGGGGCACTATTCCTCCCACTGACACCAATGATGGGGCACTATTCCTCCCACTGATACCAATGATGGGGCACTATTCCTCCCACTGATACCAATGATGGGGCACTATTCCTCCCACTGATACCAATGATGGGGTACTATTCCTCCCACTGATACCAATGATGGGGCACTATTCCTCCCACTGATACCAATGATGGGGCACTATTCCTCCCACTGATACCAATGATGGGGCACTATTCCTCCCACTGATACCAATGATAGGGCAATATTTCTCCCACCAATACCAATAATGGGGCACTATTTTTACAACAGACATCAGTGACGGGGCATTATTCCTCCCACCAAAACCAATGATGGGACACTATTCCTTCCACTGATAGTGATGATGGGACACTTTTCTTCCCACTGATAGCAATGATAGGGCACTATTTTTCCTACAGACACCAATTATAAAGGACTATTCCTCCCACCAATATTAATTGTGGGACACTATTCCTCCCACTGATACCAATGATGGGACACTATTCCTCCCACTGATACCAATGATGGGACACTATTCCTCCCACTGATACCAATGATGGGGCACTATTCCTCCCACTGACACCAATGATGGGGCACTATTCCTCCCACTGACACCAATGATGGGGCACTATTCCTCCCACTGAAACCAATGATGGGACACTATTCCTCCCACTGATACCAATGATGGGGCACTATTCCTCCCACTGACACCAATGGTGGGGCACTATTCCTCCCACTGATACCAATGATGGGACACTATTCCTCCCACTGATACCAATGATGGGACATTATTCCTCCCACTGATACCAATGATGGGACACTATTCCTCCCACTGATACCAATGATGGGGCACTATTCCTACTGCTGACACCAATGATGAGGCACTATTTCTCCCACCAAAAAGCATGGAGCACTATTCCTCCCACTAATACCAATATCAATACCAATCCACTGACAACCAAGCTGGAGGTTTTGTTTATTCCTGATATCCTGATGCCAGGATATTTTCTATTCCAGCTGGCCACAGTCTGGCTGTTAGGAATGGACTGGCCAGCA